CCCCAAAACCCCAAAACCCCAAAACCCCAAAACCCCTTGCTCCCAAAGATCACTGATTCTAATCCCCAATCACAAAATTATCAATCACCTCACCCTCTAATCCATAAGCAGTTGCTTCAATTTTTCCCTTGCCATCCAGCTCTAACAGCCAGACACTGCACTCAGTCTCCCTCTCAAATCCCTTATTCCCTCCTCTACCCTGGTCTGAGGCCTTCTCCATGATGTCTTGGTTTATCTTGGTGCAGCCTTCTGGGGGGATCCTTGTTCCATAATTCCCATCTCCAATATAAACAATTCCTTTTTGGTCAGGCTCCCCTGCAGTGATCCTTTTGGTCCTCTTAAACGCATGGTTATGGTTCTCAGAGACTAAAGTCACGTTGTATTTATCGAATAGAGGAACCCAGTGCTCCACACCGGATTTGATCACGGTGTGGTCACTAGGGTCTTCAGGCTCACAGCTAGGGTATAGAGGGCCGTGGTATTGCACGATTTTGGTAGTGGAAGTTGAGGATTTTAGGATATTTTCAAGCCATTTTGACTGTGCACCTCCCATTTCAAAAGCAAAAGCGGTGTCAAGGGAGATTATGTGCAAGGAAGAGCCGAATTTGTGAGAGAAGAAAGTCCTACGGTGATGAAGGTCAGGAAGAAGACCTTCGAAGAGATTTTGAGGGAACCAATGCTTGTAAATCGGCTGATGAGTGTTGTGAGGAATCGAGGCTTGAGAGAAGGATTGAACTCCAAGGTCGTGGTTACCTGAAGCAAGTATCATCGGGATCAGCCTGGTACTGTTCGTTTGAGCATCTTTTACATTCTGTGGCACGTGCTTTAGAAAATAATCCCATGTAAGATATCAAGTATCAATATTGTTGTCATAAGCTATGTCTCCTCCAAAAATCATAAGATCTACATTTAAGTTTTTAACTGTATTATCACTCATTTCAAGCGCTTCTGGTTCATTTCCAACATCACCAGCAGTTAATATTTTAATTTGCCTTTTGCCAAACGTTTGATAAGAAAAAGTGTTTGGGCTTGAAGACTTATGCCATGATCTCTCAGAAATTTTGAAAAGATAAATAGAGTCTGGCTTTAGTCCGTTTATATAAGAAGAATAGACAGATCTAAAAGTATATTCTGAAGAAGGAAGCTCATACTCTCCCATTCTCACATTAGCTTCTTTCCATTCAATCGATTGTTTAGAAGAGTCAAAAATCTTGTATTTCAAAGTTGGAAATCACTCATTTTTGAAGCATGATTCAGAATTTAAATGAAAATTGATTATGACTCCTTCCATTGCATTCTCTGGAAGAGTTGCGTAGACAAATCAAGGAGATGATACTTGAGGGCAACTTTCAGATCTATAGTATCTTACAATAGCTGTTGATTTATGAACATCTCTTCCAACTTGTAATCCAGGTGTATTCGTATTGTACGGACATCTACAATATCCACTGAATGTTACAACAATGATTAAGGAATAAAGGAATGCAGCAAGAAGTATAAGTGGGATTCACTTTTTGATGAATTTGTATCATTCTCTATCTCATTTGAATAACTTTAAATATCTGTATGATAATGGTATCCATGCTCCTAAGACAAGCATCATTCTGAGGATGATCACCTCGACATTAGCAGGAAGAATATTGAATGCAACAAAGTTATCAAATAACAATCCTAAGATATGATGCAAAAGAACAAGCTCCACAATCATAATCAATACTTTTATTGTGAATGTAAAGTATTTATGATAAAGTGTCCGCTCAAATTTTGAGAACATCTCATCCTGGCTTTCTTCGTCAGACTCCATGTCAAACTCTTCCTCATCATCAGAGTAGTCTCTAAGAGTTATTTGGTGAAACTTACTCTTCTGGAATACTCTTAAAATTATACGAGATAGAGCCTCTAGATCTATAAAAGTTATTTCTCTTTTCTTGTTTCAATGAAAGCTTTCAGAAAATACTAGTTTAGGTTAAAAATTAAGAGTATTTTAGTAACATCCTTACCTTTTAGATAAAACTCTAGTCATCACATTAAGTACGACCAAGATGAAGGCAAATTGGAATATGTCCCATATGGTGTTCGAGTATGTTTGATTCCTATATTGTTAATAATAAAAAGTCTATGTAAAACACAACGGTACCTTAATTCTTCATAATAATTTGTTCCTGCAGCCACTATAAATATGAGTTAAATTTTGTTTTATGAGCGAGATCTTCTACATAAAAGCTCAAAGGGCAATAGCTTCATACTATTTTTTAATATAATTTGTGAAAATTTTGTATATCAATTATTTTAGGACTACAAGGGGTTTTGGGGTTTTGGGGTTTTGGGG